GAGCTGGACAGGATGGAGCTGGCTGAGCAGTGCTTTCCCCATTAGGACCCCCTAGAACATTATAAAGGGGAGTTATGAGCCTCATCCCCACTGCAGACCGGAGTACTCATATGCTCATAGTAGCACATCTAGGAGCATCAGCTCAAAAAACTGCATAGATTAGAAGCACCTCTATAGTCCATCCTCCAACACAGGTTAACATTAGGAAAATGCATCTTTGCTGCTAGTCAGCCATGTAGCATTTGCTTTCATATATCATTAAAACAACATTTCAAAGGAATAAAAATTACATAAAATTTTAATCCACATTTCCAAAACTTATTTGAGCACTCAGAATGTCTGGATTTTTCAGAAAACTTAGGCTTAATCTTCAGAAAGAGGYTGCGTTTAAACACAAGAAATGGAATTGTGGAGTGTGCCCCTTATGTAACTTTGAAAATTTAACTTCCTCCATCTAAAGAAATGCAAATAACCTGCACCAGGTCAACATCCTTTAATTGTACAGTTTTAGAATGACTTCAATCAGAAATGTCACATAAACTTTAAAAATATACATGTTCTTGCCTCTTTTCTCTTTTCCATATGATCTGGGCTCTCAAGCCATCATCCTGGTAATAAAGAAATGCTAAAACAGATAATTAGCCTCTAATTTCTGGATATTAATTAATCTTAACATCAATTTATTGTTTTGTATAAAGGAGAAGTGATCCATTACACATACCTGTCTTATTGCTAATATGTATCATAGCCATACTTTCCAGGTACTGATGTTTCTAGGGTAGCAGAAAAGTCTAACTCAAAGGACAGTCTTTTAGACACTTTATTTACAAGCATAAGTCTTTTCTAGTCCTATTCCATCATTCTGATTTTGCTGTCTCTTACTTAAATCAAGTGACAATAGATATTTTTAAAAGCTAACAAACAGAAAACACCTCATAATATCAAAAGATTCCACCACATACTCTTCTCCCCTGGGGAAGATGATGACTGGGCAAACATTACATGACAGAGTATAATTGTGTCATTTAATGTTCTGGTAGAAGGTGCTTTGACAAGGTGAGAGGTGTTGTACAAGCATCTACACATAACAAAATAGCCTGGCTTAGCTTATTGCTTCAAGAGTAGTCATTAAGCAGTATTGCTAAGGAATTCTTCTCTAGAGAACAGATAGTTGAATGCAAGACGTTCTGCTGTTGGAAAGTTAACCCTGAGCCTGCAAAATCAAAAAAAAAAAAAAAAGAAAGAAAAACCAAAATTATATTAACAAAAACTTAGTGACTATCTCTCTTCCCTTCAGAACTTACAGTTTTATACCATCGTGACTATAAGGTAACTAACAAGGCTTTCATTAGGCATTCTGGCAGATAGCTCAGGTAAAGGTGTCACAGAAGGTATGCTTAATTGGGTTAGGAGCTCAAAGCTTTGCTAAATCCCAGTCCTAAAGGTGTTAAGAAGCTGTCGTGGGCAGCACTGATACTATACTACAGGATCCAGACATCAAAAGGAAGAGATTTCCAGGGCTGTAGCAGCTCCCGCTTTTCTCAGTCACTGTGGCTACCAGAGCAAATCTTTATTTATCCTGGGATATGTTTATGTATCTACCTGCCACTTAATTTGATTCAATCTATTCTGGGCAATGCAAAACTCTGAAAAGCAGTCCAGACTGTAAGATCTGAGACACAGCATTTGGGTTGGAAAGAGTTCAATTTGGTAGGACTGATCTTGCCTATGACATTAAAACAAAATACATGCCTAGTCTAAGTCAGCTGTCTGTGGTCAGTAAGAAATATACAAACTCTCATGGATTTAGGTAGCCTTATGYAGTGTCTTGAACAGAAGAGACAAGCGCTTGGAAATACTTTTCAGAGGAAAACTAACTTTTGGAACACTAGAGTTTGGTGACATAAGTGACATTTAGAGTTGCATCTAGGAACTATGTAGGAAACATCGGAGTGGATTGYGTTAACCTATCCCTAAACAGTTTTTTTTTTTCCCTTGGGCTCAAATTAAGTCAACTAAAGACTTAGTCACCCTACTTACACCATCTGCTGCAGGTCACAGACATACAGGTACAGCAGGAGCAGCAGAGTGGGTTATATCTGCACTTTAGCTGCCATACTTCATGATCCTGACCCTGCAAAGGATGGATTGCAGCTAAAACAATTTACTAGTGGTCTAAGTTAAGGCGCCAGACGTGGCTGCGAGTGGATGACTTGTGGATATCCTGATATGCCTCTGTTACATGGACAAGAGCTTCTGGAGCATAAGTGGGTCAGAGCTGGAGGCAGGAATGAACACCTGCAGCAGCCAGGTCCCTCCTGAAGCCTCCCATCAATTTTCTCAATGTCAGCCATGGGTACTGAAGCAAGAGACCTACTCACTGTGCCTTTGGAAACCAAAATCCCTGGAGAAGATGGCTAGTTTAACATCTGCCCCCTCCAATCTCTCTGCCCAGACTGCCAACAGAGTTGCCACTTTGCATCACTCACCGCATTGTCGTCTAAAACTTTACACACACTCCAGGGGAGCTGACTGAGACCCCTCATGCTATTTTTTCAGAGGCTGTTTTATTGCTTTAGTGACACAGTGATGCTATCTAGACCACATTTAACTTGAGGTTAATTTTTCTAAACTGGAAGTTTAGAAGTAGCTTCTAAGCAAGTCAGATCTGCAGAGATGAATGGCTCGTTGCCTGTGACTGACTGAATTCCCTGGTTGTTCTGCTGCTTTCTAGCATGATAGCCAAACCACAAAAGATCAGTTATACGTATGAGGTTAAATAGTTTACAGATTGTTACTGTAAAGCTGCTCACGCATCACAATTACTAAGATTCTTAAGGAGTATCGTTTAGCTACAAGGCTAAATTTAGTGTTTATAGAAGTTAAAATGAGACAGAGTCCACTGGCTTCTCAACTCAAATCTGGCAACAACAATTTGCACTGCAGTCCTCTCCTCTGAAGATGTGAGTGCTTGCCATGTTACTGAAGCAGCACTGTATTTACTGCAAAGAGTAAAACCAGATCTGTAAATCCATTTATTCTTTATATCTAAGCAGCTGCATTAACAACAGATGCTAATGAGAGCAATAATTGGAATTCCTCATTATGCATGTCACATACAGGCTGTGAGAKCAAGGGAAATAAAGTCTTTCAAGCAGCAGAAGCATGACCTAGAGCAGGAAATAGTATGCATGGTGACGGAAGTACAAACAGTAGCAACAGTAAAGACCTGACAGGCAGATTCCGATCTGCACACTCAGCATCTCTAACTCATCCACTGCCTCCATCACCACTGGTGTCCTCAACCTCGGTAGAGTCCTAAGAATAAGGTATTCCCTTGCATGAAGGGAGCCACTTCTAAGCTTGGCAGACTTTCTTATGCTTTTGCTGCTAATTTGAGCAATTTCTGTTTCCAAAATTTATACATTTACTACAAATATATACTTTTGCAAAAGGCCAACAGAATACAAAAATAAAGCCAGAAGCTCTGAGACTGCATTGAGACAAAGAATTGGTTTTCCTCAGTGAGCTCTGAGAGCTCAGCAGAGGTGCAACCTTGGGACTGGAAGAAGAAAGAACACAGGAATTTGCCATTCTGCTGCTGGCAGGATGGGTRGCATTAAATAAACAAGCATGACAGCTTGTGGAAGATTAAGAAATTGAAAACAATCCAGAAATTATACTTGCTCCAACAGCTGATACAAATTTCATACTTATTTGTAATTCAACACATATATTCTTTTCTATTTCATTTTTAAAATATGCTTGGAAAAGCATCTGTTCAGAACAAAAAACATGTAATTTCAAACGCTGTACTGTTTTATACAGGAGAGGAAAAAAAAAAAAAGAAAAAGAGGGATGTTAATGGAAAACAGAGAAAAGATTATACTCYAGATGATTCTACTGGACTAATACATAACACCAAAAGCATAGGGAGAGACTGCACTGTGAAACACCACATGTGCACAGCATATGACTTGCTAATGAATCAACTAAAYGGATCTCTTTCTCAGGAAAGGCAATCCCTTACAAGATTTCCTATGTTTTAAAAGCTTTAGTTTTCTGTTTGAAGAGAGGCTCCAAAATGCCTTTCCAAACAAACTTAGATCTGAAACTGGATGTGGAAATGAAGAGTGGAAGCCAAAATCTCTTGGAATTAAATTGGTTTTTTGGAAAAAAAAAAAAAAAAAAAAAAGTAAAATCCTGTGGGATTCTGCAAAGACAACCAAGCTTTCAGATTTTGTCTTAGCAGCAACTCTCCCATGCAGTGGCTTTTGTCTTTGCATGACAGATATTACCACAATGATGCAAGAATATAATTTGCTCCACCTCTCTATCACTTCTATCACCATTTTCTTCTGAGTGTGTGACCTCCCTGTATTGTGTTATGAAAGAACCTGCGTGACAGGGAGGTTCAAGCAGAAGGAGAAATCTTACACAAATCCTTAAGAACCGCTTGGGGAGCTCTCTGCTCTGCTGTTGTCCTTAGCTACGTAGGCTTCAAGACATTTGCAGGAAAAGTTGGCTGCTGGGTCAGCACCTGTGGTAATTCCATGGTTCCAATCCCTCTGATCTTAGAGCAGAGAGTAGCCACAGAGGACAAGACTGTGGGAAAAGGAGCGACAAGCCCTCACTGGGCTCCTCGCATCCTCTTCACCTCGGCCTGATGATTTTCTCACGCTGCACCTTTACAGAGGGTGAATTTGGTCCTCATAGAACGTTAAGCAAGGAGATGTTGCTGCTTATAGCTAAGGGAATAAACAGGTGTGTAGGTTTTAAATCACAGGAACAGGCCGCTGCTTTTATAGATCAATCAGAAATGCACTACAAACTTTCTGCATCCATTTCAGCACCACTTTCTTACCTTCCTCACCATCTCAAGGAAATAACAAAAAAAGTTTGAGAACCGAGAAACACTTTTTTATTTATGAAAACAATGCCAGACAAATGAGAAAGTTTCCTCTTTCATCACAAGGAAGCATTACCATAGAAACGTTGTCTAACTAGCATCTAACTGACTTCACAGCATCAATCTTGCTAATAAATTTCATTTTACTTCATAAAGTTGTCCAAAAAAATATATTTGTAACCTAATATTATACACAGCAGACACAGCTACTAAGGTAAATAGTGCTGAGAATGTTTCACACTTTCTTTCATGATGAGCTAGGAAAAAACGTCTCTAGAGAACCCATAGCTTTTTATTAACTTCACTTGTCATAACATAGAAGCAAATAACACAATACTTAGCATCAGTGCTGAAGTTTTGGGCATGTTACCTTTACAGAAGCTTATGAAAAGCAAAGCTTGTGTTTTCTTATACAGTTAATTTAGTCTAATTCAAGGAGTTAGCTAGTTTATTTGCAAACACTGCCATTGTCTCCATGGTGATGCTAACACCAATTTTTAGTTTTTGCATTGATCTCTGTGATTATACTTCCCCTTACAGTATAAATTAGTCACTTGAGAGCAGACAAGAGGAGATGCTTCTCCTAATTTCTGGATGGCATTTGCTAGTGGAATTGGATTGACTGTTCCTTCATTTATCATGAAAATGTTTCCCTGCATCCACTAAGATTAATCTAGATACTTTGTTTTTGGCAACTGTGAGAGACAGTTGAGAGAGACAGATATTGAGAGACAGTTGAGAGAGACAGATATTGAGCTACAAAGTTTTGGTCTGAATCTCTACATTCTCTTCAGGGAGGACTGTAGGTGGTGTGAGGTAAAATAGGGTTTGGCCACTGAGATTAGTAATCTGACACCAACACCTATTGCACAATTAGGATGCGAGTGAAATCCAAAGGAAATCTCAAAATACTAATGCCTTTTAGAATAATTTGCTCTCTGAGAAATTAGGCTTTGCTCCATTCATGATTCTTGCATGTGTCATTAGTGTTCCCTAGAAAAAAAATGCATGCTACATCCTGTGCATCTGCAAATTAATGGCTAAAACTTGTCCTACCGTGCATAAAAATCTCAGAGTTGCAGTTTGGATGGAAATTCTGCCACCTCAAGCTTGGAGTCTTCACCAAGTCTTTTTTTTTCTTCTGGACAACAGAGCTGCAAAAGCCTTTATCACCAAAGCAGACAGAAGGTGAAATCCTGCAGTCCTCAGATGCTCTGATATGCATCMGAAGAATCATTAAACTAGTTTTCCTCTAGAAGGCAAGGAAGATCCCATTTAAGTAATATTCTGGACTAAGTCCTATACAGCTACTCTTTTCAAGCAAGAAAACCTGCATAATTTAATCTAAATGCTGATGTCTCTGCGGGTTCAAGGTGGTTCTCTCACATCCAGTCAGGCTTCATGGAAAGGAAGCCTGAAACTCTCTCAGGAATGTTGCGCTYGCTCATTCCCACATGAAATATTGTCAGAAGGGAGAACTACACACTGTCTTTCCTCCACAAAASATGTAACAGATAATTTGAATACATGGTGAACATTATTTACTTAGTTTTAAAAGCTGCCTCAAGTTATGACTACTAAATCCATAAGTAAACCTCTAATTTCTCACCTCCAATGTGGATTGTACAATACTGAGCTTCTCATGCCTCCTAGTGCTGTTGAGATCTTTGATTTCACTGAGCTTTGATCAGGCSCATTTAAAACCATGCTGCTTCTGAATTTTAACTAATAAGCTGCTTAATGCAAGGSCAGAACAATATTGGCCTGCTGAAATAGGACACCCAGGGGAGAACTAAACAGTATTATTTTTAAAAATAAAAACCTGAGACATAAACACTGACTGAAAATGTGCCTCATGGAGGATCAGTAGATAAATCTAGATCCAGACCTTGTTTCAACAGTAATCAAGGACAATAAAATTTTACGAATTTCAACCAGCAAAGAATTAGCCTTTCATTTTTATTGACATAGACTCATCTAAAATTTGAATTGTCATTTTCATTAAATCCCTCTCCTTTGCTCCCCTCTTTTCAGCAGTTTCTAGTTTACATCATATAACACAGAGGACCTTTCAGCCAGTGCAGCAACAGAGGAAACTTCCAGATGAGCATTATTAACAGACAAGTGGTGTAGGAGCATATGTCCCATTAAGAACTGGGGAAATGCAGTATCCAGAGAGTTTCCAATGTCAGTTTCAGACTCTCCCTGAAGAACTCTTCACGTTATTTTTTTTTTCATAAAAGTCCAKGTCCAGGACTTCTACCAAAAATCAATTTGATTGATAATTTGATGTGAAGCCAGTCCCAATGGAAATGATTTTTTTTCCTCTCTCTCCTGTCAATACAYTGATCCTTTATCCTGTGTTTACCTTTTCTTGGAAAGACTGAAAACACAGCAGTGGAGGATGAATACTAAACATTACTTTATATAAGCAAGATAATGCTCACCTAAAGCTTTAGCATGAACATCAGCTAAAGAGATTAAGCAAAAGGTTTTCTTCCATTAAATATTGATATTGTTGGTGCCAAAAAAAGACAGAAAAATGACGTCTTCCCACTTGTATAACAATAAGCTTTGATAGGTAGAATATATGAAATATACAGGAGCTTTCTGAAAAGCTATCTAAGCTCACTCAACTTACAGTATGTGGAATGTAATTGTCCAGAAAGTGAAATATGTATAAAAATAGGTAAAATCCCTACAGTATTTGTACTGAATTATAATTCCTCCTGCCAGGAAGGTTACAGCAACTCTACAGTATATGTATGAAATGTTTGTTCATAAAGTTAAAAAACACCATTAAATTACTGAAGAACACATTGAATGTAGGAATGCATAATCAGAACTGACTCTCAATTCTGCTTAGCTGGTGCAAATCTACAGAGAACGATCACCATTTCTGAACAAAACAAAACCAACCTTGATGTCAAGGGTTGTTTTTTGTTTGTTATAAAGGGGCCAGACTGAAATTTATGAACAAAATTCCTCTGGAAGTGGAAGTACATTGTGTAGTTACATTTTTCCCTCTCCACTTTGTTTATTGGCAGCAGTCACCCACCTTTCAAAGTGATTATTGCCTGACGTTACATGGAACTCTTACTGCTTGCTCAGAACAAGGCAGTGAAATAGAAAGGACCTCCAGCTCCCCTGTCATGACCCAGGTCTGGGCTTGTGCTTTTTTGATGAGTCTTTGATCTGCAGCAGGCCTCATAGGCTAGTCTCCCGGAGGAACATGGTGCCAATGTTGTAAGAAACCTTTCTCACTCTGGCCGAAGAGATTGAGGATTTTGGCTGCTTCTGACCACTTCTGACCTCAAGGAAGTAACAGATCCCAGGAATTTCCTTTGGAAAGTTTTCTGGAAGCTCTTCACGGGAACGAGGGATAAAAATAAAGTTTTCTTCCTTTTTTAAGAGCCTAGAAAAAAAAGAAAATAGATGGACATGAAAGATCGTAAAATACAGCCCAGCTACACTTGGAAGAGAATAGTCCTGTGGAACCCTCAAAGGAAACAAGTTACAAGTATGTAACACTTAAAATTTCTTAAACCAGCATTCCCCCAGCTGATATAAATCAGCTTGGCATCATCAACTTCCAGGAGCTCTGTTGAATGAGATCAACTGAGGAGCTGGCCCAAATAAATATTTCATTGAAAAGTGCTGTCAGGCTTTAGAAAGTCATGTAGTCAGAAAAGGAATCAAAACCATATTAATTGTTATCCATAATGTATCATTTGGCTCATTTAAAACTCTGTACTCCTGCCAGTTGTGCAGAATGACTATTTCAAATTGAAGGCTATCTCCCAATCTTCTGCTGAAAAGCAGTAATAATGGTGACAATGATTGGGAAGTTCTCACAGGTAGAAGGGTGGTTGGTTTTGCCCCTTGCCCTCCTTTATTTGGTGTAGTGCATTTCATAAAATAGGTCAATTAATTATAATGAAATTGCCCAGAGAAAATCCAATTTCAACAAGAAACAGAATCAAATCTGGAGTTCTCCTTGCGAGTTTAATCTGAGGCAGCTGGAGTCCAAAAGAAAAGCAGGATCAGAGAGGTGATGAAGCCATGCCCACTTTTTTCAGTCTAGCCCAAACAAGTGACATGAGGTCACAGACCTGATGTCACCAACTTCATGCCATCCTAGCAGAGAAGTGCCTGTCTGGCTGAGTCTGATATTCCAGGGCCTATTATCTTCCCTAAAACAAGTTAGAGTTATAAAATAAAGAAAATAATTCTATACATTTCTTTTTGTTTCCAGTTAATTAAGCCAGGGCCGTTCAGTCCCTTGAAGAGTTGAAAGGAATCGTTTTGAAGTCATGGTAAATGCTGAGCACAGTTGGATATAAGAAAGCAGTCTGCAGCTTCTCCCCTCCCAATACATTTGCTCTTTCTCTCAATCAGTCTCATCGGAAGCTCAGAAACATCAGTGAAAAGAACCTTGTTAGCTTCTCAGTGGGTTTTGGAACAGGTTGTTTATTTAATGGCTCTAAATAGCTCTAAAGCTGATTTCTGGAGAGTAAATAAATGAATTAATTAATCTCATTGCCAAGTGATATTTTTCAAGTTGCCCAACATGCAATACCATTTCCTTTAATGCAAGTTTTTCTTGGGTTTTAGCTGAGAGAGCCAGTGTGTGCTCCCAAAAGTTCATTGAAATGTGAAAGCATTTTCTTCCCATTTTTCAAATGATTAGTGGGTTATAAATCCAATGATGCTTTTGCCTTTTAACTTCTGTGGTAGTCTTTGTTTGGCCTGTGGTTTGAGTGTCATGATCTATTTTCCAGGTTTTCAATTTTATGATCAAAATACTGAAATCTTCTTTAAATCACATGAAAGTTTTCAGAGACCTCTGCAGAGAAGCTTCTCTCCTTTCATCTTTGCTGGCAGTAAATATGATGTTTTAAACACAAAGGTTTAATATACATAAAAGTAACTCTTCTCTGCTTCCTAACCTAGATTTCTGCAAGTAACACTTGAACTCCCACAACATTCTGAGCAAATCTGCAAAGCTTCTCTGCAGTCATTCTTCCCCAAAATTCAGCTATTCACTGTGGAGTCCTYAACTTTGACAGAAATCAGGGGTTTCCTTCTCAGAGCCCAGCACTATCTAACGGTAATAACAGTTATTCAAGTCTGAAACCTAAGCCTAAAACATATATACATATATATAAACTCAGTTCAGGTCTGGTACTGTTTAGTTGATACTATCACTTTATATCTATTTATTTSATAAGGTAAAAGTGCAGGATATTAATTAAAGGCTTTATTTTCACCTGTTTACTAGGTGAAAACTACATTTTTAGGTCAAAGAGGCTCCAGCTCTGCAACCTGTGAGAGTATATGCAACCAAATTACCACATTTGCATGAAATCTCATGCCTTTAATATTACTTTTTCTTAAATGTCCAGAGATGTGGATAGACCAATAGCACATCTGGATATAAATTAGCTGTGCCCTGCTTTCTAGTATATAAACACAACATAAAGAGGAATTGTACCGGTCCATGAGATAAGATAAAACAATTGGGACTGGGTGCAACTACCTACGAAAGCCTCCAGAACTGTACGTATTAAACTGTCTCTTCCCTTGAACCAGAAAATGGGAAATTGGTTCGTGTGACTTGACCTTGTCTTCCCTGAAGATCTGTTTTAGCCATTTAGCTGCTTGACAGAATTATATTTTAAGGCTCTCTGTACCCTTGAAGAAAAAGAGACAAAATTTAGCAAAGGCTGCAGGAGCATCACCATCTCCTGCTGCTGTTCTCTTTTTGAATTCATGAATGGTCTAAATACAGAAGGGATGACTCCTTCAGCGAGATTTCTTAACCGCTAAGTACTGAGGGTAATCAGATAGCCCTTTCTTTAACATCTACATAAAGTTATTAGACACCGGAGGCAATTTCTTAAACATGATCTCATTCCCCGTCTGAGAAAACAATTTCTGAGAGAAAGAGACTAATTGAAATAGTGCACCTAATTAAGGGATGTGGGGGTTATCACAAATGGCAGCAAAGGCAACCAAACAGTTGTGCAAAGACTAACTGGTTGTCACCAGTCAGCCTTGGCACTASTGATATTCCCTCAGCATTTTGTTGTGACCAAGTCAGACTACCTGCTCGGAAAGCCTGATAGCAAAGCTCATTCTTGCATCTTCAGGATATTATATAGTAGCCTAAATTCTACATGAAGCACTTCTAATTCCCAGTGTCCCACAATTATAGTGTTTCAGTTGACGATACACAAGCTGAGCATTTCAGGAACATGCATATAAAAATTACTCAGAAACTACATCAATGCATTTGTCTCAGTTGTCTTTCCTAAATTATTTCTATTCATTTCCCTTAATCAGTAGTATTGTAAAGGACATTTTTTATGGTAGGATATTCACAGGGTGAAAATTCTGTGTGCTACTCACTGGTTGGATAGACAGTTTACAATCCAGTGCTTACATTATAAGGGTCAGGGTRCTCAAGCACCCCTGTAAATTGCCTGGAACCCGGTCTGCCCTTAACTTGTCTTTGTAAAAGTTTTAGGGGAGAAAGAATTACTTACACAATGATTTGTAGTTGATTAACCTTGATAAATTCTCCTAACCTGAAAACTTTTAAAGCTGTTTAAGTTCTTGATTTGTCAATTCCCTGATGGAAATGCTGTTGCACTTACACACACACACACACACACATGCAAATAAGAGATCATTTTTTGAGAATTATCCATTTACTTTTCATTTCCTTCACTAAAAACGTCATGTCGGTATGGAAAGAGAATGCTTGGTTATTTTCTTTTTTTCTTTTGGAAACAAGAAGCATTTGAAAGTCAGCTGGTGTCCATATCAAGGAAATCTAGGCTGATACTCAGTAATTTAAAATTACAAGCTTTTAAAATCTTGTAATTCTTTTTTAGCATCACTGAAATAGATTTAACTGTATTTCAAACTATTTTGTCAAGAAAGTCATATCCTCATTATTGACTTCCTATATATGAACTAACATGAACTGAAAATGAACTAATAAATATTTCTTACTATGATATTATTTCTTGCAAGATCCTGTATGCTGAGTGTATGCTTTCCTCCACATTTTGCTCTCTCACTTCCCATTGGGAAGCAATTTCACCTCATCTCTCCATATGTCAAAGATGTCAGACCTTTATTCTTATCACTGGATGCTGCAAAGATCAATTAACAGGCACACAAAAAAGGTACTTCTGCTTGCCTTCAGGCTCAGCAGGAAGGATGGCTTCAAGGAAACCTCATTGCAAATATTTTATGATTTCTTTATGGAAAGCATGCTAAGCTGCTTGGTTCCCTCCTGAACATCACACATTCAAAAGCTGAAGGATTTGCACAAAGGGAGGAACAAGATTAGATCCTTAGACTGCAGCTTAGACTGCAGCCAGRGTACCAACTCTTTTGGAATTATGAAAGAGGAGCTCCTTTAGAAATAAAAAGGAGGAACTCCCCCTAGACATATGCTTCCAGAGCAAAAAAGTATAATAGACTGCCACATGCACTAATTAAACTCCAGCCTCTTTGAGAAACAGCACCAATAAGGATGTATTTGTCCAAGCTACTGCATGTTCCTACCCTTTGAGCACTACCACAAAGATTTCAGGGCGCACACTGTGCACACAGCACCTGGAAATGCCCCAAACCTCTTCCCTACCCCTATCTCCCAGGACTGCTGCATCCAGCCAGCATGGATCCCAGCAAACCCAGCACCATTTGGCTGCAGACGGGTACTCTGCTCCAGCGCAAGAGCCTGGCACTCTGCTTAGCCCGTGCTGCAAGGGAGGACTATCTCTTCTCTTACCCTTTACTCAAGGCTTGTTARAAAAGCTATCCTTCAGGCAAGGCAGTCCAGTATGAAGTAAGCACTGAAAAAACAGGAATTTTCTTATGTATTGCCAAAAACTGCTAACTTGGGATGCCATGTATATATTAATAATTTTCAAATGTATTTTTTCTACGAATCTTAACATTACACTAACTATAATATCTTCTGCTTCAACAAACTATCTAGCAGAAATGTTATAGTCAGGTAATGTATATATAATTATACATTATTAATGTATATATACATTTTACCTCAGTGTGATGAATCTCCACATTCCCTAAAAAAATCATGATATTATGATATTACAGGATTTGGCAATTTGCTTAATCAGAGTTTAAAAGCTCCCACTCAGAACTGARCATCAATGTAAACTTTTAGGGAAATGATTTTGTATGCATCAAAAATTAAGCAGTATTTTGCAAAGAAACAGAATACACTAAGGAGAATTTGCACTGCTCTGCTAAATATAGTATACTCCAAGAAAMGCAAAGTATCCAAGTCAATCTTCCATAAATATTCTCTTTCACGAGGATAGCTATAAACAGAAGAAAATGTTCTTTCTGTTATAAATCTCAAAGAGGGGA